AGTACACCGCGAGTTTCAGTTTTGCCAGGATGCTTACTACAAAAGAACAGGCCAATCCAAACAGCTGGGTTGAACCCCTGGATGTCTACACCCAGGCTACTGTATAATTCACTGGACCCAATTCCATGGCAACTGTTATTCTGTGAACCTCCAGTGCATACTGGTCATTTTGTTGCAGCTTCAGTGGACAGTTAGAAATATCTTTATGGAATTCAATATGAAAATGAACATCACAATCACTGATATCACTGATATTCTTCATGTATGTATTCAATGCATTTAATTTTTGTAGAGAGACAAAAGGTTACCTCCTAGTAGAAGTGACAGTAAGAAAAGTGAGAAGTTTTGTTAGTACACAAGAAAAGTTGAGCCAACATTGCGGGGAGACAGAGGAGCCTCGAAAGAAAGCAAGGAATGAGATCCTTCCCTTTTGGTGAGCTGTTAGATAGGCTTTACTGGCTCTTAAAACCCTTGGAAGGCAAGTGAGAGACTTTTGATACTAAGAAAGGTATAAAAGACATTTCGGGATTGTAGGAATAGGTACATTAGATAAATACTTGTGGTAACATATCAGCAATCAGAAAGGTGGTGTTTAAACTGGCTTCATTAAGTTTCAGTGCAAACAGTTTGATTAAACTGGAGTTTATCACACATTTAGAAACAGTAATTTCAGTTATTTGCAGGCTAGCAAAGCCTCATTTAAGCTCTCTTCATATTTACAAGCTTTTCTTTAACCGTAATTTGCTATAGAAGTAACTTTAAAAAACAATTCTTCTGTGCCAAAGCTTAGTTTTCTGCAAGAGGTGGTTTCTGTGTGAATGCCTTGAAATAAAGATGATCCTCAGCTTTGATTCTAGCTCTTGCAGCCACTATTTACAGAACGTTGGGTCCCAGTAGTTTGGAGCAGCTGTATCAGTTTGTCAGAGTCAAAATCAGCTCTCTTCTGCTAGTTGCTTGGTTCTCCTGTTCTGAGATATACTATGGCTCTGGCCTCCATTCAGTCTACATGTAACTGTTTTGAGTGTACCTTGCAAAACAGCAGATCTGGATTCTGGCAAAAATATAATTAAATTAATATAAAATTGTATTTAAGGCCTATAATGTGCCTTATAAAAAAATTAAGTTACTTGCTTATCCTCCCCATACCTTCCTGGAGGCTAATGCTAATATCTCCCTTTTTACATATGGGAAACTGAAGCATGGAAAGCTTAAATGTCTTACCCTAAGTTAGCCAGCAAGTCAAGAATACAGTATCACTTGTCTTTCTAATACCTATTACAAGCTTTTTGATTATTCGGGGAAGTGAAGTGTCTAGGTGAAAATACAAATATTACTTAGATTGTCTTAAAATGTGCCTGCCCACAGCCTTTGAAACTAATGTGGTTTTTATTCATATGTATCTAGATTTTTATTAAGACAAAGCTAACAAATATTTAGTATTGGTTTCAGTCACTGAAGCATATAATCTGTCTAATTTTTAACACTATTCAGAGAATGCTTTTGTGCTACATATCAGAGCAACCTCTCTATGTTATTGAAAATAGCTAATTACTTTTATATTCAATATCTGTAGGCAAAATCCTTGTCAGCAGTGAAATGGGAATCAGTCGCTCAGCTGTGCTGGTGGCTGCTTACTTGATGATCTACCACCATATGACCATTCTGGAGGCTCTGATGACTCTAAGAAAGAAGCGTGCCATTTACCCCAATGATGGCTTTCTGAAACAACTAAGGGAGCTCAACGAGCAATTGCTGGAGGAACGAGAGTCGGAGCGTACTGGAGATGAAGAAGTCACTCCTAGTCAAAGTCCTGTTGTCCATGCAGGGACTTCTTCCCAGCTGTCTGGAGCTGGGGACTCAGAAAGCATCATGGGAGCCAAAGCCCACTCCATCGCAGTAGAAGAAGAGGACACCAGCAGCCTGCTGGGTAGTCTAATGAGCTCTTCATCGGCAGGAAAAACTAGCTGGATTTCCAAACACTCCACCCTCATCAGTGAGGAGGAAGAGGAACAGTTGTATGAGGAATGGAGGAAGAAACAAGGCCTGCCTGCAAAGGAACCAGGAGTTAACCATGGAAGAAGAACATCTCCAAAGCTTCTGGATCGGGAAGGGGAACAATCTGAGGAGGATGTGGAACAGAGGATCCATGACTGGCAGCGCAGAAATGAGAAATACCAAATGGACGGTCCACCCAGGGAGGAGGATGGAGATTCCAGCATGGGAGGAAGACCTTACCCATCAGGTGAACTCAGTGATGTTGAGAGTGTGAGCAGTTTTGAGATCCGAACCCTAAAGCAACACCTGGAAGCCAGTAGCTTTAGCAGGATGAGGAGGAGCCGCACAGGCTCTATGTCTTCAGAGAGCACTTGGGACATGTGGAACCAGAGGCTCCTGGAGATTGAGAAGGAAGCTGCTCAGAGGTATCATTCTAAGAATAAAATTGGTGGGGAGAGACAATCCCCAGAAACAGGAAGAAAGGAGAGGGATGTGGATGAGGAGAGCGTGTTTTCAGACAGTAGCTCCTTTTACAATTTCTGCCAAAAGAACAAAGACAAGTTGACTCCTCTAGAAAGGTGGAAGGTCAAGAGGATCCAGTTTGGCTTTCACAAGAAGGATTTAGAATCATCATCATCTTCTGCACCATCTCCAGCAGAAGATGGCAGCCAGGCAGGTGGGGAGGGGACAGAAGGGAAGAGTTTGTCAGATATTAACCTGACTGCTTACCAGGCTTGGAAAATGAAGCGGCAGAAGAAGGTGGGCAGTGAAAGCAAGGAGGAATTTGTGGAGTTTGCCAAAAGTGAGGATTCTGCTTCAGCCAAAAAGAAGCAGAGGCGTGTAGAGCTCCTTGAACGTTCAAAGAAAATTTTAGAAGAAAGCCAGTCCATGTGCAGCTGGGAGACAGAGAGTACGATGAGTGGGAGTATCCCACTGTCAGCTTTCTGGCCCTCAGCGCCTTCTGCAAGCGGTGCCGAGGACGCAGCTTCTGCACTGAGCATGCAGACAAATCATTCATCTTTATCACAGACCAGGAGCAGCACAGGGGCAATGCAGCCTCAGATGCCAAGTATACCCCTTCCCAATCTCCCAGTTGGCCCAGGTGACACAATATCCATGGCAAGCATTCAGAACTGGATCGCTAACGTGGTCAGTGAAACCATTGCTCAAAAGCAGAATGAGATCATGATGCTGTCTCGTCCATCCTCTGCAATGGCCTCCAGCGTAATGTCAGGAGAGCTTGGCAGGCGTGTAGATGATGATAAGGTTTCTCTTCTTAGTTCTCAGAGTGGCTCATCTCTTGCCACCTCTCAGCTTCGCCAGCAGGACATGCACAGGGCTGAGTCTCAGTCTGTCCTGTCTTGCAATAGCTCAGTGAGCGCAAGGACAGAAGGAACTAGTTCAAACGTGAAGACAACACAGACAAGCAAACCACTGTACAGCCTCTTTGCTGATGATGTTGACCTAAAGAAACTCAGGAGGAAGGAGAAGGAGATGCAAATGGAAATGAGAGAGAAAATGTCAGATTATCAAATTGAAAAGGTGATCAGAGACAATAAACGCAGCACTTTATTTAAAAAAAAGATGACCAAAGGAGAGGAAAATGAGATAGAAGGTGACACAGAGAGTACAACAAACAGCCACAGGCGCCCCTTGCAAGCAGATCTTGACAGAACTGATACAGCCTTTGATCCGTCCAGTCAACCTGCAAACACAGGTGCAGCGAAGTCAGAGATAGAGACTGATATTACCAAGTGGCTCAGTGGCCTGAAAGCAGAAAGAGAACCACCATCATATTATGATCAGAGTGAGAAGGCTAGAGAGAAATATAGCAGATCATCCAAAGTTAGAGAGATGGATTCTGAAACATCCAGTTACAGATTCTCCAGATCCCAAAGAGAAGAGCTAGACAGCTGTTCTTCCTACGAGTCAAAAGGAGATTCACTGAGATCCATGTCAAGATATTCATCTGCTTCTGCAAAAGAGGACAAAAAGATGTATAAGTTCACAAGGTCAAGGGTCAGTGAGACAATAAGTTCCAGAGAAAAGAGCCCAGAGCTGCATGGTTTCAGCCGAACACCTGAACCATCCTTTGGCTCTGAATCCCCTGAACCATCTACACAGAGTCGAGTTAGATCTCATCATGTGGAGGCGTGTGAAGAGGAGGCCAGGTCAGACATGTCAGAATTTGGAGCTAAGAGAAAGTTCACCCAGAGCTTTTCAAAGTCTGAAGAGGATGGAAAGGAGGCAAAAGTGGAACAAAGTGAAGAAAGATTTGCATCTAGACAGTCTTCTCAGTACAGGCGAAACATGCGTAAAGAAGAGGAAGAAGAGATGGATGATGATGCCATTATCGCTGCTTGGAGAAGCCGACTAGAAGAAACTACAGCAAAGCTCCGGCGGAGAAGGGAAGAGTGACCAAGATCAGATTATAGGAACACAAGCAGAGCCACGGAGTCCCTGAATCACTCATCATTATATTTCTGATAATCCTTTGTGGTTTGTAGGGCATTTCCTGCAGATAGTTCTCTTCTTAATCAAAAGCAATAAAGGGAAGAGGTCAAGTTTTGGAAGTGTTTGTGGTTTGTCAGAGAGAAGATGCTAGTATTAAATGATCAATGTAGGTAGGAACACAATGTTAGAAGCCGTTAGGAGCCAAACGATGTTTCAGCAGCAAAAGCAAGTAATGGTGGCACCTCGATTCAAAAGACCAATCACATCCCATTTTGGTTATTTCAATTTCTAGTCTCGTTAAAGACTGCGGATATTTTTTCTAGGATGTTTTTGATCATAAATGGAAGAAGCCAGCAGCCTTTTCTAGGAACTTGAAGAATGTTCCTCTCTTAATCAGTTTTACTTTATACCACTGAGAGGATATTGCCAGGTAGGCTCCATTTTCTGCACCAGTCTTATGAATGTCTACAGAAATAAGACAGTTCAGAGGAATACATGTACTGTTTTACTTCGCTAAGTAGCAGAAGCAAAGTGAAATACTAGAAGAAAGAAGATGCCTCCTTCTTTTTAGAAGTTCAATGCAGTAATGAATGTATTCCTGTGGTACCATTGTTTTCTATTAGATGGAGTCATCTCTGCTTCAGTATGGTTGATTCCTGCTAATAACTTTGGGTCAAAAAAGGAAAAATGCAGTAATATTAACAGCCGTCTAAAAATTATGTTCTGATGTAGTTAAAGAGACGGAGTTAGGGTTAGGATTAGTGTTAGGTTAGGCTGGGTTTCTGAAGTACCGACTTCAGTTTGGTTTATGTATGCAGCTCTGCTAAATCTGTGCTTTTATGTCTATAGTCAGATTGTCATGTATTAATTTTCAACACGATTGCCTTATAAGAAAAGAGTGATACACAAACTGACTTCATAATAAAATGATATATAACTAAAGCATTGGTATAAGGCACCATGCACTTAAGGACAAATTGTATGTCTGTTGAATGTGGTACTTGGAAGCTTATTTTTAGGAGATGGTAGGTTTAGTTGGCGTGTTACCGTTAACGTGTATCATCAGCTACAGAGCCCACTTTTCAGAGTGAGTGGAAGGAGCGCAGTCTCCATGTTAACTGGGTACATGAAGTTAAGAGCCTCGGGTCTTTCCATGCCCTGCAGAGCCTCATGAGCTTGTGTGGCACGACCTCCCAGGCCTGCCACAGCATCACTTGCGTGGCCTGTATGACGCTGTGTCTTAGACGCATCAAAGCACCCAACTCTGTCACCAGTCAACATTGTCTTTGACGCGTCAAAGCACCCAACTCTGTCACCAGTCAACATCCTCCCTCCACCTCTCTCTTATAAACACCTAGGCCAGTTGCTCCTGATTTCTACTCCGGAATTATCTGTTCCATCTTCTGTACAGACTGTATTTTGAAACAACAAAACCCTCTGGCAGAGCCGAGTATAAAACAACAATGGAGGGATGGTGCAGTATTGCCCTCCCACAGGAAGTTTTGTCTTTCTTGTCATCTCTTCTCCCTCCCACTGTGATCCTTAGAGCTCACTATTACTATTATGCTAGTACCTCTCCCTATTTTAATTGTGTAATATAGACAGTAAGCTCCACAGGGCAAGGGCCGGGTCTTTGTCCTTGTCTGTATGACGCCACGCACATCAGCAATGCTATCTAAAAAATGGTTACTGATAACAAAATGCAGCTGCCAATTTTCCTAAACTTAGAATCATTTCTCCCAACTATAACTCACTGATTAGACATTATCCCTGCTTCTCTGAAGATAAAGATGACTCTTTCTGATAGCCAGGACTAGGGTAAATGATTGCTACTTATTGTCAGGTGAATGGAGTCTCAAAATCAGGTGATTGAACAATAACAGGGGTAGAAAAATAAGAGAAAGAACATATTTTACTTGTGTGGGTTTTTTTTTTTTTTTTTTGAGTAAACTCAGATTACATTTTTGAAGTACATAAGGAACATGGTCTTGTTAATGTTTCAGGCATCCAGAGATGCTATAAGGCTTATAATGCACTTCTACTACAATATAATATATAATACAATGCATCCCTTATTTCTGCATACTTCTATGAGTTGTATTTTTTTTTTAAGTAGTGGAATTCCAGGCTTTGATCCACATTCTGAGATTTTATATTGAATTTCTGCAACGTGTGGTAGGATAGGCATTTTCCTCTTTTCTTCATCCCTGGTAAAGTTGTTCTGCACATGCATATTGGGAGCTTGCTTTAATTTCAGTCTGGAAAAGGTCTTAAGTTTCAGCGGATCAAAGTGGAAGTGTGCAATACCTTCTGGCACTGAATTTACTTTTTTATCAAAGGCCGGTTGCCTCTGAAAAATCTCTCTCCCGCTTCCTATGGCTGGCTGCTGTTCTCAACAGAAATGTCCGCCCTCTGCAGTACTGTAGGGGGCATCTTACACTGTAAAAGATGAGCGTTATATGATGTAGTAATTGGTTTCATTTTGCACTCTACGGCACAGCCTTTGTTTGGGTAGCATTTTGATTTAAACAGTAATCTAGGTCTGCCGCACAAATAAATTATTCAAGACTGAGGGGCAGAATATGGTTCTATAACAAGCCTGAGCCAAAGCGTCCTGATAGCGAGTTTTGACCCTTCTGGGAAAGGGTTAAGTGGGTTCTGCTGACTCACTGAGGTAGGTGGCTTATTAGTTCACTTGTGTAAAAGGGAGATAAAAATGGTTTGCTGGGGAGAGGCCATCTAAGATGCTGGCTGAGCAGTCATGAGGGAGAAGCCTTAGAAACAGCTGAACTTTATTTTCTTATTGCTTATATCCTTGTTAATAAAGCCAAACCCCCAAAGCAATAAGGGGGTGGGGATCATTTTGGACTCCATTCCGTGTACGGCTGGTGCTTGAAAGCGAGATGGGAAAGGCTCCAGCTCACAGGTATAAATTACATGAAACAGTGACATAAAGACCTTGCATGGTGAAAATATTAAAGCATTCAGTCATAAGACCAATAACAAGGAGAGACAGAAATGGAGAGGCTGAAGGCAGGCTAGAAAGTCAGGTTTTAAGATGAGAATTTAGAAGGAGATAGGGAATCGGTGAAAGAGGAGAGGTCTGTACAGATTGTTTCAGGTGACCAGAGCTGCAGAGTGGATGGTTTTTCAGCAGTGACACTGGTCTGACACTAGATTAAAAGAGAAGGTAAGTACACAAATTTATCTAGGAAGGATTTTTCAGCAAAGATGCGCTGGGACTGGTATTTTTGCTCAGCCTCAGTTTGCTGCTGTAGGCAGGAGGGGGTGGGGGTTGGCATTGTATAGTGGAAGGTGAAAGTGCAAGGAGCATCCATACAGTCAGTTAAGAATATAAACACAGGAACATCAGAAAGGCTATATGGGGTCAGACCAAAGGTCCATCTGGCTCAATATCCTGTCTCTGACAGAGAACAACAGCGAATACCTAGGGAAGAATATAAGAGCAGTGATATAAGTGATATTTCCCCAGCATGATCTTCCAGCTTCTAATCATTTGCAACTCAAGGACTTCCTGAGCCAGATGTGATACTTTTGTATTTAATAGCCCTGGATAGATTTTCCTTCTATGGCGGTGCCTAGTCATTTTTGAGTTATAGCCATTATAGCCTTGTACCCGCTAGCCTCGGTGATCTCCTGTGGCAAGAAGTCCCACAATTTACTCTAGACTGAATGCTAAGCCATCTCCTTTTTGTTCTGAATCCTCTGCCCACTACCCTCCTTTGACGCCAAAATAATCTCTAGCCAGTATCTACATGCCACACAAGATTTTATCCACCTCTATTGTTATGCCCCTCCTTAGCTCTCTGTTTTTGAGCCCGAGTTACTCATTCCTTGTGTGGGAGCTGCTCCATGTCTCTGATTGATTACCCTGGCCGTTCTTCTCTGAACCCTTTCCAGTTCTGCTTTGTCACATTTGAGATGAGGGAGCAAATCCTCACACAGTACTCAGGGTGCAGGTGTGGCAGGGATTTATCCTGTGGCATAATGACCTTCTTTCTTCTGTTCTCTCTTCCTTTCCTATTAACTCCTAACAGTTTGCATGCTTTTTTGGCTCTTGCTGAACACCAAGGTGACATTTTCATGCAACTATTTATTATATCCACAAAATCTTGTTGCTGGATGGCAATGGTCATCATTTTATATGTTAAGTTTTCTTATGTGTAATGCTTGACATTTATTAGCCTTGAATTTCATCTGCCATCTTTGTGCTCAGTCTCTCAGTCTCATTAAGTCCTTCTGCATTTCTTCACAGCCGGCCTCTTATTTCTACTACTCTGTTTCCTTAATGTCCTTTGAACAATGTAGAAACTCAGGGTATGTGGGAAGCAAAGAAGTTAAGGAGGGATACGTGAGAGAGAAACCCATTTGACATGGGTCTGAGTGAAGAAAGAAGTACGAAGGTGATGAAAGCTGGAGAGCTAGGCGGTAAGAAGCGTTCAAAAAGAGATCTGAAGACAATAGGCAAATTAAGAAGGGGACCTACATTGGATGGAGACAGTAAGATACGTATCTAAGCCGAAGAAGCTAACGCAAAATATTAATTTGTTTAGATGTATAAAAATCTGGCGAAATGTTACGGGGCAACCTCTGTGGGAAGGAAGGAGATGGTGGGATTTACAGAAATTACGGGTTTGTGAGAAATGTGAAGGGGACTGTGAGAAATGGAAAGGGTGAGAGACATTAGTGGGACGTAGATGATAGAATGACATCTATGCTAGACTGGGAATTCAATGTGGCAGAAGCAAGTTTGGAAGGAAGCGGAAATGTGCCAGAAATAAGTTATTCCTACTGTAACAGCTGCATTCTGCATTGTCATACTGATAGGTGTGGGGCCATGGCCCATTTCCCCCCATCTAGGATTTTCAGAGCAATTTGATTTATTGCATGTGGCACTAGTTTAGACTGGATAATTTTAAAAGGAGTTTAGCACCATTTCCTTC